CCGGGGAGAAATGGCTTTGCATGTCAGATCCTGAGCAGTGCCAGAAAAGGAAAGCCTAAGCTGATAGGAAAATAGAAGAGTGATTAACGGCAGATTTGGACTTGCAGCAATATTGATGCACAAATCAAAAACAAAGGGAAAGCCTGAACTCCAAAGCCTTGTTGGAACACACATTGCAAGGTCCTACCTGTGTGGGTGCAAAACTGCTCGACTTCTGTGTGCAATCCTGGCCAATCGATAATCCAAATTAAATTACAAATCATCCGTTTTAAAACCAGCACACTTCTGTAATTGAGGCTGGCGTATGGGTGGACAAGGAGGTCTAACCCTTTCTGCCCATGCCTCAGCCCTCCTTCAAACCCCACACCCCTAGTCCCTGAGGCCACTAGTGATAGAGATGGGTGTAGGGCTTGTTGCTCAAGCAACAAGGTTTTCCTGGACTCTGGTGTGGTATTGTATCCTTGGTTATTCTTTGATCCGGACTTCTGGCTTGCTCGTTGACCTTGCCTTGTGGTTCATCCTTTGTGTAGAGACTTACTCTTCAGTTCTGGTTATTGGCTTTTCCCACAGTTCCTGGTTCCTAGCTCCTGGCTCACTTGAGACCACTATCCTTGGTTCAGCCCTGACATACTCCCTGTCTATTCACATATTTGAGTGGGACAGGGAGAGTGAAAGTGGAGAGAAACTATATGAAGACAATCTTATACACAGCTCTGTAGTATTCCTGAAGAAACCTCATTTGCTGACCATTTACTGCATCCTCTTATTTTATTTTTTTGGCATGTCTATGACGTTGCTAACTGTGTGGCTTGGCTCCTGTGTGTCTGATTATTAGTGTTTTGGCACAGCCTGTTGCTATTGGACCTCTCTTCAGCTGACATGTTAGCCCATTAGCTCTTGTGATAAATGCATCTCAGTAGTCGCATTAAGGAGCTGTAATGCAGTAAATCATATTTCCTTTGAATGGAATGTCGTTTTCATCATTTGCAGTTTCCACCAAAACTTCAAGCACTGAAAACACTTACCTGTAAAAACATTATTATTATTTTACTTGCCTGTAAAAACATTATCCCCGCGGCGGGGTGAGCTCCCATTGCTTGGTTCCAGCTCCTGCCAACCTAGTGCAAGTAGATAAATAGGTACCACTCTGGCGGGAAGGTAAATGGCGTTTCCGTGCGCTGCTCTGGTTTCACCAGAAGCGGCTTAGTCATGCTGGCCACATGACCCGGAAAAACTGTCTGCGGACAAAAGCAGACTCCCTCAGCCAGTAAAGTGAGATGAGCGCCGCAACCCCAGAGTCATTCGCGACTGGACTTAACTGTCAGGGGTCCTTTACCTTTAATGCATTGAACTTGGAAGAAATGAAGCATTGGGGAAGAGAGTTCGGATTTTAATCCTGTTCACGGTTTCCTCAATGTAAATCCCACTGAACTCAGTAGCTTAGACCTGTGTAGACATTTATAGGATTGCACAGTTCATTAACCTTTCTCACAACCTAGAAAGCTTGACTCCCATGTAGTCTGATGGGAAATGGCAAGTCTGATTAATCCTTAGTTTGTATTGTGGTCTGAAACAGTGCACCGATATCGTGTCCGACTGCAAAGGAGTATTGTTGTCTGATATCTTGACCAGCAGACTGAGGCAAGCTCTTTTCAAACATATAGAAAAGGACATTAAATATTATCATTGCTATTCTAGCTAGAAGAAACAATGTTCTTTCTGTAGTCATCTGTTAGTTAGAGTTAGCATTTCATTTTCTAAGAGACAAGACAGCATCAGGCACAGCAGAAGGGTGTAGGGAAATTCTTGAGAATATGAATGTTCTCTAGCTTAGAATCTGTCAGGACATAGACTGCAAGCTTTGTGGCGTTCGGGAGCCAAAATGTTCAGCTTGCAAGGCGTTTGAGATCCAAGGTACAACTGTATCTCCAAACAAACAGATACAGACCCTTTCCCTTTCCTTCTTATCCCAGCTCTCGCTCAAGATCCGAACCCTAACTGCACGCTCCCTCTCTGCTTCTTAACAACGACCCCCACAATCTCCCACAAATGTATTCTCTTGTGTTCACCAGGTCTGTTCTCTTGACCATCTGTCTCCTCTTCCTCTTTCCTGTTGCATGTGCTAATTTTGCTGGCTTTTTTCATCTCTTCTTCCTCTTGTCACTTTCCTGGTCATATATAGCAGACCTCCATAAGTGAAATGGAATATAAATATTTTTAAACTGTGATGGAATGTGGGGCTACAGAGCAGTAGTGGGGAAAATGCTATACACATAAAGGCTCCTGTGGTTTATCTATAGCAGAACAAGTTAAATATTACTTTAGGTAGAAGGGTAGGAAAGACTCTCTGCTGAGATGTTTCATGATGTTCCTTTATAATAACTTTAATACCCACCTGTCGGTCCTTAAAAACTCTCCCAAGGTGACTCACACAAAATGAAAAACAATCCAAGCCTGTTACAAAATAATGCCAGAGAGCAGCTGCTGATTAGAGCATTCAGTATTGGGTTAAGTGGGCCAATGATCAGACCCTGCATAAAGCAACATCATGTGTTTAGAAATACAAATGTGCATCCTAATAACAGCGGCATAAGGGTGGCGCTGTGGGTTAAACCACAGATCCTAGGACCTGCTGATCAGATGGTCGGCGGTTCGAATCCCCGTGACGGGGTGAGCTCCCGTTGTTCGGTCCCTGCTCCTGCCAACCTAGCAGTTCGAAAGCACGTCAAAGTGCAAGTAGATAAATAGGTACCACTCCAGCGGGAAGGTAAACGGCGTTTCCGTGCGCTGCTCTGGTTCGCCAGAAGCGGCTTAGTCATGCTGGCCAATAAAGCGAGATGAGCGCCGCAACCCCAGAGTCGGCCATGACTGGACCTAATGATCAGGGGTCCCTTTACCTTTACCTTTTTAAGAGTATATCCAGAAGGTTTTTCTGGTTTTTTTTTTATAACATGTCACAATTGGGAATCTTTATAGGAGAGAGCAAACAACCATTTTTTCAGCTTTCTTGTTTATTTACTGCCTCTCCATTCATAACAGCCGTTAAATCTTTAGTTCAATTTATTTGCTGCTTGGAAGTGTTCACTTTCTCATAGCAACATCTGAGATAACAGAACTGCTGAGGAGAGCATGCATTAACAGTTTCCTGGTTCTGAACAGTACCTTAACAGCTACTGTGTGTGTGTTTTGTTTAATTTTACACAACACAAATGCCTCTTCAAACAAAAGTCAATTTCAGGTTGCCAAGATATGGTCTTTAAAATCAACGGAAGCTGCTGTACAGTTGACTTTCATGATACTTTTGACCAACAGAAGACGGATTGTGTTGGAATAATGGGATTGGTACAAATCCTCTGTACAGGAGCCTTCCTTAGCCTGGTTCTCTTCAGACTACAACTCCCATCATCCCTGACCATTGGCCATTCTGGCTGGGACTGATGGTTGTAAGCCAAGACATCTTCAGGGCACCAAATTGGAGAAGGCTGCTGCTCTAGAGACCTTTGTTAATTGTATCCACCAACTCTCCCTCCTCTATTTCCTCTAGCAGTGCTTGCTATGGAAAGTCATCAGACCACATACATTTTCTGTAAGAAATCCTGTAACAGCCACTTGGCTCTGATGGACCAAAGATGTTGAAATTGACAGCCTGGCCAGTTCCAGATTCCTAATAAAGTGGGTGGGAGTTCCTTGGGGCATTTCTAACTCTGCCCTTCCCATCTGGCTCAATCAGACATTGAAAGTGGCTAAGCTAAGCAGTATCATCTCTTGTTGTTGTTGTTTAGTCGTGTCTGACTCTTTGTGACCCCATGGACCAGAGCACGCCAGGCACTCCTGTCTTCCACTGCCTCCCGCAGTTTGGTCAAACTCATGTTCGTAGCTTCGAGAACACTGTCCAACCATCTCGTCCTCTGTCGTCCCCTTCTCCTTGTGCCCTCCATCTTTCCCAGCATCAGGGTCTTTTCCAGGGAGTCTTCTCTTCTCATGAGGTGGCCAAAGTATTGGAGCCTCAGCTTCAGGATCTGTCCTTCCAGTGAGCACCCAGAGCTGATTTCCTTCAGAATGGATAGATTTGATCTTCTTGAGGTCCATGGGACTCTCAAGAGTCTCCTCCAGCACCATAATTCAAACGCATCAATTCTTCGGTGATCAGCCTTCTTGATGGTCCAGCTCTCACTTCCATACATCCTCTCTTACAATCAGCTTTATACATTTCCACAAAAGAACTGCCTTGGCTTAGCTGAACTTGCCTGCTTTCTACTGCACTGCTCTCTAACTTTTCGTTTTGGGGTTGTTGTTTTTTCTAGGGTTTTTAAAAATAGCAGGCTCGCAGTACAAATTTTCTGACCTTGCAATACCTGAGTGCATTAAGCTGAGATTCCTTGCTCTGAAACTCCATCCCTACCACACTACTGTTCCCAGGAGACTGTGAGACAGCAAAACATTTCTAGGTACCTGGAGCTTTCAAAGAATGTGATCTCCCCACCTGAAGTATTCGATTTATGTGAGCCAGTAGTGATTCAAGCCAAGGGAGTTGGCATATCATTAGTTCCCCCTGCCCTTTGAACAGTCCCTGGTGTGTGTGTGTATATGTGGGGAGGAGAAATCCCTAGAAAACAGGAAGGCACAAGCATCTCTACTTTTGCTTTCACCCCAGTTTTCTTCACAGATTGCTCTACATGGCTGTCAACAATGAATTTTCTTCATTGGTGGCACTGAGGAATGGGATGGTATCTCTTCCGCAGCCACATCTGGCTGGTTGTGCTTGCTTGAGATCAACACACTCTTCACAGCAGCTACTTTATAGATTAAAAAAGGCATTTTATGGCAATGGGAGGAAGACCCGTACTTTGTAAATAGAAGGACAAGATTTCTGTTCAGTGTTGCAGTGTTGTGGGGGGATGAAAATATTGGATTAAAGCCTTTGCATGGCTTAAGCCATTGCTCACCCAATATGTATACTGAGATTTAATGATCTGCATCTTTTTTTGTTTTGTTTATAGCCTCTGGTCTTTCCTCCTCTCCCTCGACCCCGACACAAGTGATCAAGCAGCCAACGTTTCCGCTTGAATCCTACAAACATGAACCAGAAAGGCTAGAAACACGGATTCACACGTCCTCTTCCCCCCCAGATACAGGCCAGAGACCAAGCCTTCCTCCTGGACAAAGTGTGGCCAAACCTCCCACTTCCACCCCGTGCGCTACCTCAAAAGCCGTAAGTATGGACCGTTTCATTTCTCTGTAAGAAAAGCAAAGTCCTGTGTGCATTTTAGGATTAACAGGGTGCTTCTAAGTGTCCCAAGTGCATAACATGGATTATCTTCTTATAATCCTTTTGATATAATCGGTCCAGTATACCTGAAGGAGCATCTCCACCCCCATCGTTCAGCCCAGACACTGAGGTCCAGCACTGAGGGCCTTCTGGCGGTTCCCTCGCTGCGAGAAGCCAAGTTACAGGGAACCAGGCAGAGGGCCTTCTCGGTAGTGGCACCCGCCCTGTGGAACGCCCTCCCGCCAGATGTCAAAGAGAAAAATAACTACCAAATTTCTAGAAGACATCTGAAGGCAGCCCTCTTTAAGGAAGCTTTTAATGTTTAATAGGTTATTGTATTTTAGTGTCCTGTTGGAAGCCGCCCAGAGTGGTTGGGAAAACCCAGCCAGAGGGGTGGGCTATAAATAAATTATTATTATTATTATTATTATTATTATTATTATTATTATTATTATTAATTCTGCAAGGTACTTAAGTCTTACAGTTATCACTGTATTTCAGTTGGGGTGAGGACAGAGGCTGATGCCTTATCTAAGGCCTCCTAATGAGTCCAAGGCAGAGGTGAGGTTTGAACCAATGGCTTCTCGATTCTTAGCAAAGGCTTTTCAGACTGCAAATCTCTGCAGGTTTGCTTGGGAGCTTTCAGAAGGTGTGCCTAAATTTTAACTTGCACACTGAGTACTTAGCCATCAGCCATTACAAATAGCAACTAATTATTGGCACCATTGTCTTCAATAGGATACAGTGTTTAATTTGTAGGATGCAGTTTTCTGCTGTAAGATAAAGCTATTCTGATTACTTGGGTTCCTTCCTCAGACCTGCTTATTCTGCTTAATCCTGTATAGGATTCTAGCTGTGAACACCCATCAGTCTTGTTTATAGTATCAATAGACATAAGCTCTTTTCTCAGGGGTAGGCAATACACTGTTTTACTTTATAAAATTCTAAATTCAGATGTAAAACATCACCCTTAGCCAATATACTTTTGCTGAAGCTTAGAAGTAACAAACATTTAAAGCCTGCATTTTTCAGGGAAAAATGTGAAGACAGCCAAACCTTCCATCTGCTACAGTGGAGTGAGTGTGTGTGTGTGTGTGTGTGTGTGTGTGTGAGGGCCAGAGGAAAAATGGGTTGCAGAATCTCCCACTTAACTTGGAATTTAAAGGGTTAGCATCGATCTGGCTTGCAGTCTGACAGCTGTATTAAGCACCTGTAGATTTACAGAATTTACGTAAAGAGATGACTAATGGGAACTAGAGCAAAGGTAGCTGATATGTGTTGCTGTGAGACGTGCAGTTGGATGTGGCTGGCAAGAAGCCGCTGATGACTAAACTAATACTTTGACCTCAGCTCATTCTAACATCAATCACATCAGGTCACTGTATACTTTGCTTACATGCCAGTATGAAATAGTAGTTGACTTTGGTGGGGAAACACTCCTGAATGGCCACTGCGGAGCCTCTGAGTGTGAAAGTCAACTGGCAACTTTCATAGGAGGAAGAAATTACTCATTTGGGGATTGGATGTATGAAATATAGCTTGGTGAGTCAGTTGATAGGTTATTCTTCCATCAGCCTTTCTGAGTGAACGTGAGTTCTTCAAACCATTCACCTTTGACATGAGTTGCTGATCTAAGTACGGTCCACACAATATGATCACAATATGGCAATCAAACATGGAGGATTTATTTTAGATAACAACAGAGAATTGTAGAGTTGGAAGAGACCCCAAAGGTCATCTAGTCCAACCCTCTGCAATGCAGGAACCTCAGCTAAAGCATCCTTGACAGATGGCCATCCAATCTCTGCTTAGAAACATAAATAGAAGGAGAGTCCACAACCTCCTGAGGGAGACAGTTCCACTGTCAAACAGTTCTTGCTGCCAGAAAGTTTTTCCAGATGTGATCAACCTCCACCTCTGGCCATGTGAAAACCTTATGCCAGACCTTTCTAAAGGTAACGGTAAAGGTAAAGGGACCCCTGACCATTAGGTCCAGTCGTGGCCGACTCTAGGGTTGTGGCGCTCATCCCGCTTTATTGGCCGAAGGAGCCGGCATACAGCTTCCGGGTCATGTGGCCAGCATGACTAAGCCGCTTCTGGTGAACCAGAGCAGCGCACGGAAACGCCGTTTACCTTCCCACCAGAGCGGTACCTATTTATCTACTTGCCCTTTGACGTGCTTTCGAACTGCTTGGTTGGCAGAAGCATGGACTGAGCAACGGGAGCTTACCCCATCGCGGAGATTCGAAACCGCCGACCTTCTGATCAGTTCTTTGGTTCAACCCGCAGCGCCACCCATGTCCCCTTTTTGACTTTCTAGCCCTGTGTTAATTTATACCCAGTCTTTCCTCAACAAGTACAAAGCAGCTAAGTTTAAAAAAAACCCATAATCTTAGTCACAATGACCAAACCTGCCTTGGATCAGAACAGCAATATAATATGAATACTCGGAGGTCTTGCTTCTGTCTTAAGGTGTTACGTCAGCATTTGTCCCAGAGCATGGCAACAGGACAATAACACAAAATAGGACACCTAAGTTAAGTTCTAAAACTTGCTGAGAAAGAGATGGGGAGACAATAGCAGGGGGTGTTATCTTCCAAGGGCTGACCAATCTTCTGTAGTCTACTTTTTGTAAAGCTAGAATTCTCCATCAAGGTGTGTTAAATGTACCAAAAAAGTAGTTAGGGTAGCTGAGGCATGACTAATCTGTGCTAAGTGATCCTAAATATGTATGTGTTCTTTCTTAAGAGCATAAGAAGTGCCTGGGTGGATCAGATTAAGGTCTACCAAATTCAGCATCCTTTGCAAGAAACCCTTCCATCCCCATACACTAAGTAACCCATATGGAGCTTGAAAGCTGTGTGCCATTTTTTATCTCCTGTGCACACCTAGTCTAGGGTGAGAAGAACCTTCCCCACAGCAAGCCTTCCCAATTGCTATTTCCTACTAGGCCTTACTTACGCCATTCCTAGTAACCAAAATCTTTTCTATCATTTGGTTTTGCCATCTCCCTATATCTGGGGTCAGTTAGTATTGTTATGAGTTTGGGAAGGGGTGAGCCTAATGTCTGGACCCCATTCTAATTTTTAATACCCAGGCTAGCTTTCTGGTGAGGTGATACCCTGGGTGATGGGCCATTAAGGAGAACAAAGAAAGGGGCTCTGTGCTAGATGGCAAATGGGTGGGGCCCCCTCCTTCAATTCGTGGGAAGCTAGAAGGACAGAGGCAGAGTTGAGATCAGAGACATGTGAATGATGTGAGCTGGAAGCTGGAAAGAAGCAAGCAGAAGCCAGAGAGATGGAGGCATGCTTGATTTCTGTTCAAATCCAAGGCTGTGGCTATTAGAGAAACAATATCCTCTTGGGCTGTTAATGCTGTGAACCTCTCCACCATAGGGTCAGGCTGTGTATATGTGCGTAAATAAACCATATATTATAAAGACACTACAGTCTCCGCTGTCCCTTTTTCCGAAGGAAACACAAACCCTGGGTAAGTGCCTGGAATCTCACATTGTTCTGAGATTGGGGTGGCGTGCAACGGTATATTCCCAACCATAGGAATGGCAGGTGCTTCCTATCACCATGATCTCTTCCTAAAAATCTCATGCTGCTTCCATATTTTTTCTCCTTTGCATCTAAATTTCTACTCCACAATCTTGTTCTAACCTTAATTACTTGGTTTACTGTTTACTCCAACTCGCAATGGTTGTTTTGCACTAAATAGTCTCTAGTCCTACATTCTTCTTTTGCATACCCCTCATCTCTTGGTGTCTCCTGTGAGTCCGCTTTTCTGAAACTACTTTTAATATGTCATTATTCAAATCTGACGATTGCGACTTAACCCTTTGCTTTTGATTAATGTCGGCACTGTGTATTTAGTTATATAATCCTTGCATACCAAAATAGTTTCAAAGCAGTTTACAAGTATAAAATCAAGTATTCAATATCCACACATAATTGAAATACAGAATAAAGCAATTCCATCGAAACATAAAAACACCTGTATTTAATATATACAATAAAACAAGCTTGCGAAGAAGCATAACAATTAAAACGGTTAAAAGAACGATTAAAACAATTAGATCAGAAAGCTCAGGTTCAGGGAAGTACTTGATTTAGAAGATATGTCTGCAAGAGCCAGGGGGTCCTCAGATATTTCAGCAATATTGATGTATTTGCTAATACTTATATTTGGTGCAAGAGACTCTGCAGATTGAAATAGTATTATCTCTTAACCTCTAGGATCACCAACATTTCCCCTCCCCTCCTTTTTTAACTGCCCTGCTTCTGATGGCAGCCTAATGCACAGAAACCATTTCCCCTGGGGCAATAAATGGTGGGTAAAAACATTCACCTGATAAATTTCTTTGCATGTGACTGCTATTAAAGGTACAGGTGCAGGAATAATTTTCCTGTGAACAATATCCCATTTGACCCCCAAACTTTCTTTACAGCAGCAGGAAAGTTTGCTGGGAGCTTGTTTGAGAAAACCATCATGGTATGGAAACAGGATCCTTGGTTGTATTCTTTTAGCATCCATATTTATTTCTGAGACCGTCCACCAGAACAAAATTAATTTTGTTTTTTTTAAAAGGTGGCTTAGACACAGGAAACTGAGATGACTGTGAGATGGATAGCTTGCCCCTGACTGTGTACTGTACTTATCACATCTTTCATTGGCTCAATAACTCTTCCTATTTTCTGGAGCGTGGCTGCATAAGATAGCCGGCAAGTCTGACAGTGGCAGAGAAACCATGATTTATAAGCCTTGCGTCGCATATCCTTTGCAGCCTTTCTGTGTTAGGACTTCAGTTCCTCTGACAGGGAATAACACATCTGCTGTCTACATGCTCAGGTTGCAACCTGAAGATTTCCTCCTCTGTCTTTAAATCCACCCGTAAAGCAAAATGCTTAGCAGCTGTGGCTTGTATTGTTTACCTGACA